GCCCGTCAGCGTCACCACACTGCTGCCGTCAATGCTCACAAAAGCGGAGCTACTGTCGTAGAACATCGCACCCAGTTCCACGTCGTTGTCGCGCCAATCCAGCCAGCTTGACCGCTGGACAGTCCACAAGTCATCGTTACAGATGGCGTAGCGCACGGAGCCGCTGTTCCCCACCACGCGCAACACGCTGTGATCCGACACGCTGAATCCGTGGCGCAGATAAAGAAGGCTTACCCCGGAGAACATTGTATTGTTGAGCAAGGCAAAAACGGAGTGGTCACTCACACTGAGGCTGTACAAGTAGAACAGGTGTGTGTATCCATCAAAGCTGCAGTACCGCGCGTAAAGCGAGCTGCCACCCACCAGCGTCAGCGTCCCTGTCGAGTACACAACGAACGCATCACGCTTCGTCGCATGCGCCTTGACGTCGCTGACCAACAGCAAGGACGCACTCAACACGGCGTCCTTCAGCATCACTACGCCAAACTTCGTGTTCATCCTAGTGTCCAGCAGTTCAACCGCGAAGGACAGCGCCGCGTCAACCTCCGTGACGGCGATGTCGCAGTGCTGCGGGAGGGCACGCATAAAAGCAACGGTGGAGGAACGCATCACCGTCTGGCTCACGCGTATCAGGACGCCGGCTGACTCGGCCGCCTCAGCACCACCAACAAACTGCAGCGCGGCACCCTCACGAAATGTGCACCCAGTGAGCGTAATGTTGATGGGGAGATGCAGCGGCATACTGTCGAAGGAAAACGTCAGCGTGGCACCCACGCCGCTGAATGTCACACCCACGTAGCAGTGATGCGTCTTCCACATGTTCAGCGTAACGTTCGTCAGCGTCTGGTTCACCACGCAGCTCGTGTCGCCGTCGACGGCTCTCTCCGCCACGGGCGGCACAACCGTGTCGGGCACCTCGAAGGGAAGACACGACGCGCCATGCCATCCTTCCTTGCAGCTGCACGAGCACGAGCTGCGGTCCACCGACTCCGTCCCGGGCATGTAGCACGCCGCGTCGTCGTTGCATGTGCCACACCTGAACACCACCACCTTCTCCGGAAACACATCGTCGTACAACACCTCCTCATCGCCCTGCAGGTTGCACCCCACCACAAACCGCGCGGGTAACTCAACAATCGTGTCTGGCGGAAAAAAATCAGCGAAGGGATAACTATTGTCCACCTGACGGTTGTGTGCAAGCGCCACAGTAGTGCCGCTGCCCGACAACTTAATCTTGTACTGGGGATACGGAATATTTAATACCGAGGCTGCACTCACGTTGTTGCCCTCCACACGCCACTGCGCACCACCCTCGAGGGTCACCGAGCCAGACAAATACGACAGCGCGGGATCAAAAAATTCAGTCCCGCCAGCGAAGGTGCAGTCCGCCACTCTCAGCAGCCCCGCGAAGCTCACAGTAGTATCCCCAAAAAGAATAACGCCATTGACCGAGTTCATCGTGTTGTTCTCCACGTCAAAGTAGCCGCCGTTCCTCAAATCAATAGCATTAACGCAAACAGATGATTCCAAACCGTCATCGTCCTCCGTTGTCCTCAGTGTATTACCCTTCACAATGATCCCGCCACCATCAACAACACCATTGAAGAAATAGACTGCGTACCTATTCGCCTCAATGTAGTTATCGAGTAGCAGCAGCGTCATATTCGCACTGAGAGTAAACTTCACAAAGGAAATGGCGTGGCCCGACGTCGTCACAAGCGTACTGCCCACCACCAGTA